TTCCCTTAGGATAAAAGCTGCCTCTCTGATCTATCCTGGAACTTCATAGCCACAAGTATTCTGCCTGTGGAATGACACAGGGTAAGTTCATGCCTTCTTCCATACAATAGACATTTCAATGTTGTGGGCAACCATCATGACTCCCATGTGTATGCTTAGAAGCGGCCGGGCATGGTGGCTCACACCTGTAATCTCAGTACTTTGGGAAGTAGAGGCAAGAGGATTGCCTTAGCCCATGGGTTCAAGACCAGGCTGGGCAATATGGTGAGACATTGTCTCTACAACAAATCAAAAAATTAGCTGGGTGTGGCATCCATCTTCCTCAAAGCCTTGGTCATTCTTTGGACATGCTCCCATGTCCCTGTGTGCTTAAAAATGGGTTTTCATTAATGGGATACAAACCCCTATAAGGGTGTGAGCCATCTGGAGGCCAAGAGTTGTCCTCTCCTGTTTGCAGGACACTCTTCTCTGTTCATGCAGCCAAGAGTGGTGTTAGGTTTTTTTGGTAGCTGTGTCTATTTCACTGCTGATGAATACTGGGCTCATAATCAACAAAAATGCCTATATATGCTAGAGTCCAGCTCCAGCCGGGTTCAGGGTACCCCAAAGGTGGAGATGGTGTCAGCGATTGGGGGGGGAGAAGAAAGAGAGAAAGAGAGAGAGAGAGAAAGAGACTGGACCCATGTCTAGTGCAGAAGCCATTTATTGGGAATTACAACGGGTCCTTTATACACAGTCAGTTGTGTGAGGGGCGTTCCCCACCCACCATATGTTCTTTCAGGTATAATCCCATAACAGATGTTAAACCTAATTCATGAAACCTTAATCCATGACTACCTTTAAACCCTTTTCGTACTGCCTATAAACCCTTTTCATATTGCCTATAAACCCTTTTCGTACCAATACCAAGTTAAACAATTCTACAGAGACTTAAGTACTTACTTTTCAAACTAAAGTGGCCCATCCCAGAATGTTTGGAATGTGGCCCAGTCCAAAGTTCACAGTGGACTACGTGCAAGTAACCCAGTCGCATTCTTTCAACAAAATGGCTGTCTTCTAAAACTATATTCTACAATTTACACCTTATTCAACTTCAATAAATCCTAAGATCATGACCCAGAAGCCTGTGACCAATACTAAGGCTGTTAGATGTGACCCGAGTTTGAGTTGTAAGTTGTGTGAAAGCCAAAACTGCAGTTTGTGGAAGAATGGGAGCAATGAGCTTCTAAAGTTAGCTTGTGTTCATCCAGGTCTCAGAGTTTTTATGTTTTGAGCTCACAGGAGCTTAATCTGGTTAGTGCTGAGTAGAAAGGGGGAGGAAATGGGGTCAATAGCTCCCGAACGCATCCTAGTGGTCTCGCGGTCAATGGCCCTTCCTGATCCCTAACACTCAGTGGGCCTCCGTGGCCGGCTACCAACACTTCTAGAATTTTGGGTTTTATCAGTGACATTTAGATTAATTTTTCTGTAGGATGTCAAGTTGGGGGTCAAGGTTCATATATTCTCCACATTTTTCCAGTTATTCCAACACCACTTGCTCTGACTTCTTTGTCAAAAATCAACTGCCATATATTTCTGGACCTCTTTCCGGTTTCCCTCTTCTGTTCCATTTATATATTTGTCTAAATATAGGTTGATGTCACACTGTGCTCATTACTGAAGCTTAATAATAAGCCTTGAAGTCAGGTAGTATATGTCTTCCAATTTTGTTCTTTTTCAAAATTGTTTTGACTATTTCAGGTCCTTAGCATTTCCATATAAATCTTGAACCAGCTTGTCAATTTCTACCCCAATAAAGCCTTCCAAAATTTTTAATGGTGATTTCATTGACCTATAGATCTGGGGAAATTTTAATATTAAGTTTCATATAATCAGTATAGAGGCTTTGCACATTTTGGTTAAATTTAGTCCTGGCTGTTTCATGTTTTTGGTGCCGTTATAAGTGGCTTTGAGTTTTAAATTTTAGTTGCAAATTTTTTTATCTATAATATATTCAAATATAATTAATTTACTTTTCTATAGTGACCACATAGCCCACAACTTTGATAAGCTCATTTTTAGCTCCAGAAACTCATTGTATATCCCTTTAGATTTCTACAAACTACAGTAATTTTGAGTGTAAATAATACATTTGTAAATATTTTTATTTTGAGTCGAAGTCTCGCTCTGTTGCCCAGGCGGGAGTGCAGTGGCATGAGCATGCTTACCTCAGTCTTAACCTCCTGGGCTCAGGTGACCCTTTCCCTTCAGCCTCTGGAATAGCTGGGACTACAGGCACACGCCACCATGCCCTGCTAATTTTTTATCTTATTTTTTTTGTAGAGACAAAGTCTCGCTATGTTGCCTAGGCTGGTTTCAAACTTCTGGACTCAAGCAATCCTCCTGCCTTGGCCTCCCTGAGTGCAGAAATTACAGGTATGAGTCACCACACCCAGCAGCATTTATAAATATTTTAACTTTCTTTGTTATGCTTGTCTTTTACTTCTATTTATTCCTTCATTGCACTGCCTAGAGCTGGAAGCAGGTCACCCTGCCTTGTGTGAACACTCTGGCCTTGTGTTTAACCTTAGGTTTTCCCACCCAACTGAAACTGCTCTTGACTGCATATAACAGAAACATCCACTTTTTAAAAAGTGGTATGGGCTGGGCTCGGTGGCTCAGCCTGTAGTCCCAGCACTTTGGGAGGCTGAGGCGAGTGGATTGCCTGAGCCCACAGGCTCAAAACCAGCCCCAACGACTTGGCAAGACCTCATCTCTACAATAAATAAATCAAAAAATTAGCTGGGTGTGGTAGCACACACCTGTAGTTCTGGCTCCTTGGAAGGCTGAGGTGGAAGGATCGCAGGTCAACACTGGGGTGGCTGTGAGTGTGTCACTGCACTCCAGCCTGGGTGACGGAGTGAGACTCTGACTCAAAAAAAGTGGGATAAACTAATTAGACAGTTTTTCTCATGTATGGAGAAGTCTGTCAGCAGGGAGTCTGGCTGTGATGCAGTGCTCCATTTGGCTGTTTGGAACCCAGGCTCCTCTGTCTTCCTACTCAGCCACCTGGGGCTGTCTCCTTCTGGTAGCTACTGAGCTACTTCAAGTATCCAACCTAGAATTAATGAAAAAGAAAAAAAAGGACGAGGCAAAGGACAAAAGGTACACGGCGGCTCAGTCTTTTGTCTCTGAGGCATCTTTCTGGAAGTCTCCCCTAACACATATCTAACTGACCAGAACCGGTGTGCAGATTTTTCTGTCGGCAACAGAAGCTGGAAAAATGCAGTTTTGATCAGAGGCTCTAAAAATTCGATTTCTGTTTATAAAGAAGAGGAGAAAGTGCACTGGGAGTGCCAAAAAAATGTGCATGTTAAGAGATGTTATCTAAGTATTACTTTTTGAAGTTGAATTGAAGTATGGTAGCAAAGTGCAGTATGTCACTGGCTCAAAAGACGGTGTTAAGCAAATAAATGCTAGCGTCGCCATGGGACAGGGAGGACAAGGAAAATGGAGGAAGCACGGTTGCCATTTGAGGAGAGCAAGGCCATTTGGAAGGGGTGCTCGAAATTCGAGAACGTTGTGGAAGTACAATGACACGGGAGGTGTGAGTGTGTGACAGAACCTCCAGCAGGCCCATCAACTGCATGCACGCGTGATGATTGGGAGACACATGGTCCCTTGTGTGTGGTGCACAAGGGAAGACCTGGGAGGCCTCGCACAGTAGCAAGTCCTGCTTCTTCTGCTGTGGTGTTGGGACAGTTTACCTGCTTGCCACAGAAGTCTACCAAACAACGTGCACGTGAGACAGGAGTTGGCAGAACAAGCATACGATACATTCTTAGAAAAGCAAAATGGCAAGTTTTCATCCCAGATTACTATTCTTGAAATGGCATGCTCTGTATGGTTGGGTAGGCAATTAGATACCTCTATGAGAAATAGAGCTTCAACCTCTGCAAGACTGCTCATCTCGATGTTAAGACGCTCCGTGGAAAGTTCACAGATGGTCTACTAGACAGCTGCAGCTCCAAAATATTATAACACAACATTCGAACACTATAGATCAGGGATGTGTGGTGCATCCAAAATAAAATGAAGATGGTCGGTCCAGTGGCTCATGCCTGTAATCCCAATATTTTGGGAGGCCAAGGTGAGAGGATTGCTTGAGCCTAGGAGTTGGAGACCGGCCTGGGCAACATAGCAAGATCTCATCTCTACAATAAATCAAAAAATTAGCCGGATGTGGTGGTGGGTGCCTGTAGTCCCAGCTACTCGGGAGGCTGCAGGAGGATCACTTGAGCCCAGGAATTTGAGGCTGTGGTGAGCCGTGATTGTGCCACTGCACTCCAGCCTGGGCAACAAAGGGAGATCCCAATTCACAAAACAAACAAAATAAAATGTTTAACAGCATTAAGACAATGTCACTTATTTCTAAATGAAAGCAGGATCTGCGGCCTGAATTTGAGATGACTTTATTCTATTTCATTCTACAGAGTAAACATAGTCACAAGGCAGGAAAAACAGCTGACTAAATACCTTGTGTACCTTAATGATATGTATTTTAATTTTTTTACAGAGATGGAGTCTCGCCATTTTGCTCAGAAGGGTCTCACACTCCTGGGCTCAAGTGATCATCCCACTTGGGCCTCCCAAAGTGCTGGGATTAGAGGCGTGAGCTGCCGTGTCCAGTCAATGTCTTAACAAATATGGATCTTTTTTGTTCAATTCAAATAGGTCACTGTTTTCTACTCATTTCAATAATGAACAGAAGATTCCTAGTGTTACATTACTGTATACTACATGGGGTTCAAAAGCATACAAATAAGATGTCCTAGTCTTTGGTTGGCTGAGGTTTAGGGAAGTGGGAAGAGAAATAAGACTTTGGATGACAGAGCCAGAGATGTTTGGGTGACAATGACACAAAGCAGAAGGTATGCCGGAGGCCACCTCCGGGGGGGGGGTTCACGGGGACCCAGGAAGGAGGCGTGGTAAGGGGAAACAATGAAGAGTCCTGACCAGAGTTTCTTTTCAGGCACTCTGGCACTGAAGCACAGCAGTGCTGATTTATTTATATCATAATTTTTGGCACACACTTAGCAGAAAGTTAACAGTTAAGGGAGTAATTAACAATCAAAACATATCGAAACGATTGTATGACGTACTAATGATTTCACAAATCTTATGATTTTTACATAATTATATGGTTTAATAATGACTGCATGTAAGAAGCTAGCTGTTCTTGGAAGTGGTAACTTATTAAAACGGCAAGGTTAATATTAGTCAAAAGGTTAGCAAGTGGAAAGTAAAACTTATGCTTTATAAAGGTAAATAGTCTATATAGATATAAAGGTGTTAGGCATATAACCTTTATGTAGTTTTAATTTAAAGGTCGCTGTCTGTGATGAGGCAGTGTCTATATTTTATTTATATATACCAATCATTTCACTTTTTACTAAGTGCTGACCTTTGGGTTTTAGAAAGCAGGCACCAAGGGGGCCCACTGCGTTTTATTTTTTCCTATAAAGATAAGTTTTTCTACTTAACATGCCTTTCATCTATCCAGACTTTTTTAACCATCTCATCATCATATGCACTTGTATAAGGTAGTGGAGGGTCAAGTAATTCTAAGTTTTGCATACTACTCTTTCCTCTAGGTGCCCACCAACTTCTACCATTCATATTATAGCCTATATGGGGGCCTGCTCTAACAGTTGGCAAGGGTTTGTGATATTGTTTCAAAGCTTTAAACTTGTGGCTACTCTGGTGTTGTTTGTATGGCTTAACTGTGTTTGCTTTAGTTTGTACCTCAGTTTCCGTCATTTCTCGGTACCATAGTTTTAACATAAAGTAGAACAGTTAAAAGTACACTTTGTCACAGTAGGTTTTGGAGTAATTGGTTGTGACCCGTTGGGTTGCTATTTGCCTTTCCTGAGGCATGGGCAATGGTAAAACATTAACTGCTTTATTATTGACATTATAGATGCTGTAATCCTTAACTTTAGTCACAGTGTTCTTTCCCAAGGGGAGATTTAAGCATATTATTCCTGTAAGGCATAAGCATAACAATATAATGGGAACAAACAGGCGACCATGAGTCACAGGACATTTACGTAGAACTTTCCTCAAGACTTTCCATGGGGCTTTGTCACACACACGGATCCCCTCTGGGGCTTTGCCTTCCAGAAGGGTATCTTCATCCGGTTCCCATGCCGAGTCCTGGATTGTCATGGCCTCTGCCAAAGGTGGAACCCACTGACCCCATGGACTCAGGGATTTAGAGAGATGGTTCAGCTTTATTGGTGAAATCATCTACAGACTTTCTATTTTCTTATATGCATATAAATTTGCCACAGACATTGTATTTCCATCGATCACTATAAAATATTTGTTGTTGAAATGGACTCGAGGTGTTTTTATAAAGATAGCTACTTGCTACTGGTTTACCCTAAAAGACAGAAAAATGACTGAAACGACATCTCGCCTCACCCTAGATAGCGGGTCTCTCTGTGGGCCACAGGTCTGGTTCCGGCTGTCTCCACTCTTCTCCAAGCACGGTGTTGAAACTGAAGGGCTTGAAGTATTCTAGACGATGGCTGAAAAAAGAAGGTGGGAACTGAAATGAATTATGCCTTCATGAAATAGGTGTCCTGAAGGACTACTTATTTTGTCATATGTGTGACAGGACAACATTCTATTTTAAGAAGTACCAAAGGTAAGATGTATTCGATATGTACACTTTTCTCACTCACTCTATCCAATACTCAGCTCTGAAAACATTCACCCACATCTCCAAGTAGTCTCCTTTCAAGTCTACAAATAACTCTCTCACTGCTGAAGGGAGAAATAAAACTCAGTCCCCAAAATCTGACTTGTTACCTCTAGTTTTAAACTAATCTTTTTATTTTTTTTTGAGTTGGAGTCTCACTCCGTCGCCCAGGCTGGAGTGCAGGGGCACGCCCATGGCCACTGCAGCCTCAACCTGCTGGACCTAGGCAATCCTCCACCTCAGCCTTCCAGTAGCTGGAACTACAGATGCACGCCACCATACTTGGCCGATTTTTGTGATTTATTGTAGAGTCAAGGTCCCATCAAGTTGCCCAGGTTGGTCTCAAACCTGCAGGCTCAGGCAATCCTCTTGCCTCGGCCTCCCAAAGTGCTGGGATGACAGGCTGAGTCACCGAGCCTGGCCAACTAATCATCTTACAGTCTTGCATATGTTTCTATATTCAAAGTTTAATATAATTTTTATCAGTCATATAAGCAATTGTTTTAAGAAGTTTCAGCTCCAAGATAAAAGGATAGCCTTCTCAATTTCCTTCTTTGCTAAAGCAAGAGAGTTAGTGTAAAAGAGCATTAATCTTTTCTTTTCTTTCTTTCTCTTCTTTCCAGGAAAACCACTGAACTATTTATGAAGCTTTCTCTTGTGGATGAATGCAAGGCTGAGCTCACATACTGCAGTGGAACTCTGCTCGGTAGGAAGAGTGGCTACGCGTGGCTACGCGTGGCTCTGCCCTGGCCGATGCAGATTCCTACTTTCACCTAGGGTAAGTCTCCAGTGATCCACCATGGTACCTGAATCATGAACATTTGTATAACTAACTCTGAATTGTATCCTACAACTTTAAAATAAAAAAGTTAAAGCTAAAAGGAAAAAAATGTTTCCAGTTATATATGAATACGGGAAGAGCCAGAGAGACATGCCACCTTGGTATGAGGACCCTGAGGCCACTGCAACTAGATGTCTCATTCTGCCCACCTGGCCAGGATGAACCCGTTTTTGAATCACTGTGGTCATTCCCCAGGTGAGATGTTAGGGACACAGCAGTGTAGGATAAGAGAAAGGAAGGGAGAAGAAGATCAGACAGAGGCTAGGTCAGGGCTGGGAGAAAGGCAGAGCGAAGGGGGGAAAGTGTGTTAGGTGGAATAAAAGAGCATGCCAGAAGAATGAAGGCAACTTGCAGTGAAGTTAGGGCATGGCAGGAAGGAGAAGGCAAACAGGTAAAAGAAAGACAGCGTGGCACATTCCAAGGGTAGAAAGGTGGGAATGTGCTGGCTGGGATGTCTCCGCCAGGCTCTTCTGCACACTCAGACTCCCTGACTCTCTCAGCCATGCTGAGTCTGCTGAGAGAGGCACCGAGGAGGCAGCACAACTTGCCCCGGGAGCATCTGGCTCTCCTCCCAAGGGGGTTGTCCTTGCAGCAGGCGCTGAAGCACTCACAAGGCTGGCCAGGAGCCATGTTCTCCCCGGGCGACAGATACAGGTGCGAGGATCGGGGAGGCGAGAGGGAAGACCTTGGCTTAAACACCTGTCGTCCACAAGAGCAACGCCTCTCGTAACAACTTCATGGTCATGGCTTCCAGGGGACCTACAGGGAAGGTGGCCATCACAGGGGAACCCCTCAGCCACGCTGTCCCTGCCATGTGTTCATAGTTCATTCCAAACTACTCTCAGGTCAGACGTCGTTGACCAGTTAGGGGTCATTTTTATCATGAGCAATGCTGCCTAGAAACACGGCTGGCATGTGTATCCTGGTGAGGTCACCAGTGGCAGAGAACCCGGAAGACAGTGGAGGATCGGAATATCTTGCGGCAGGGGCAGGGACAGCTTCACCCTTTCCTCACCCATGAAACATGGACGCCTCTGGCCATCTAGCTCTGAAGGGGTTACAAACACCTTTGCAACCCTACTGCTTTATCAGCTGCTGCAACACTGGCTAGGCAAGGCTTTTCTCACACCTCTGTGGAAACCCAAGGGCTCCCACCACTCACGGTACTGAGAGACTATGGCAGTCCACGTGGATCCACCAAGTATTTTCTGAAGACCGTCAGGGAACACTGGCCTCTACTAGGCACCCGTGCACGTAGTCACCTTCAAAAATGTCATCACCACTCTACTAGAAATTCATTTAGAAAAACTCCTACTTGGACATCTACCTCTTCTTGTGCTTTCTACTTACAAATCAGGTTTCTGTCCTTGTTGCAATTCATGCTGAGGTACAGGATAAAGAGCTTCATAACTTCGTTTCTCTTTTGATCCATGGATCGCAAAGGCATTGAATTTTGTCACATTTGGTGGAAAATAACTCCAGGGAAGGTAAGCTTCACCTTCCCATTTTGTCTCTCCTCTGGACACTTGGAACGATAAAGCAAGTTCTTGCTACAGAAACAACGTGTGGAACCCAAAAGGTAGAGTCAGACTTGCACTTTAAACATGCAAATACATGCATCATTGTGTACTTAAGAATTTTTATGTTTTTTTACTTACAGATTTTAAAATTTACTTACTTTCCACACCTTTCTTCTTCCAGAGAGTAAAAGCACTAAATGCTGTCCATGGCTGTCAAAATGAAGATTCCTCATCAGTGTTTGAAAGAAACACATGTCATCACCTTCATTCATTTCATATCTGGAACGTGTGTGCTTGTAACTTAATTTCCCAATAAGTAAAAGATGCAATAATACTATTAGATCATGGTAGGGAGGGCCGGTGTGTTCAGTTACTTAGAAATGACATCTTTGGGTTTACCATGTTCCATCACATGCCTAAAGTGTCACAAGCTTAGAATGTTTTTCCTATTCTTTAAATAATAAAGTATACAAGATACTTCATTCAGTTGAATGATACAAAGCATAAAAAAGGGTCAGGGGATACCATGTTAACTGGGGTTGTAATAAAACCAGTTTCAAAAACTAAAGTGCCCTAAGGAAAGCTAGCATCAATTTCCAAGTCTGAATTCCACAACTTTATTAAAGGTTATTTCTGTAGCTCATCAAGAAAATAGAAAATGCAAAAAACATAGACTTTCTAATGTGTCTATTTTTGTACACACGGTCTGCCTCTTGTGTTTTCCAGCTTTCCGCTGTTAGTTCAGTGTCACATTTTCAAAAAGTAACACAATATATTCTCAAAAAGGAAACTGTAATAACAGTGCATAATTGGGATTAGCAGGTCAGTAAGAATCAAAGGATTTCAGGTATTAACATAAAGCCAATTTATTGTCTCTGGAAAAAAATGATATTTTAACATTTCTACCCAGTCTTTTGTAAGTTTTTCAGGAAGAACTTGCTTCAGTGAACTGTCCTAACAGAAGACGAGTAATCTTTCCCATTTAAAAGTCCTCTGATTTTATGCAGTTTTAGGGATACACCCTAGGAGGAGTACAAATTCTTGCATATTAAAACAACACTGAGCAGCTTGGTGGCTCAGCCTGTAATCCCCTGCTTTGAGAGGCTGAGGTGAATGGATTGCCTGAGCCTGTGGGTTCGAGACCCACCCGGGCAACTTGGCGAGACCTCATCTCTACAATAAATCAAAAAATTAGCTGGGCGTGGTAGTGCACGTCTGTAGTTCCAGCTACTGGAAGGCTGGGGTGGAAGGATTGCCAGAGCCCAGCAGGTCGAGGCTGCAGTGGCCACTGCACTCCAGTCTGGGTGACAGAGTAAGACTCCAACTCACAAAAAAAAAACAAAACAAAAAAACAAACACTGTTCTTCACGTTCCTTTCCTAGAGATTAACTGTTACAGGAACTGACATCCTGAAGCAAAACCATGATTCTTTAGTTTTTCCTTTTTTTTTTTTGAGTTGGAGTCTCACTCTGTCGCCCAGACTGGAGTGCAGTGGCACAATCATGGCTCACCAAGATCCTTGACTCAGCTTCCCAAGTAGCTGGGGTTACAGGTGCATACCTCACGCCAGCTAATACATACAGCTAGACTTTCCACATTAGACGTAGTTATATATCAAAATGAGGAAAAATAAAATAGCATCTAAAAATCTTATTTGGTTCAATGGTTTGGAGCGCTCTGACCAGCCTGCTAAGGAACAAAGGCTATAGTATATTAGATACTGAAAAGCATTTAAACGGCATTTTGAAAGAGTAAGAGCAATATAAAGAATTATTTTATTATTAAATACTTTGCTAATTAAAAATCAGCTGTAACTGAGATGACAGGAGAACAACAATAGAAAAAAGATAGTTTGCCAACCAGGTAAAGAAGATTCCTAAGACACAGGTGAACTTGGACAAAGATTCATTTTTTAATGAATCTAAAAAAATCCATGCTTGATTTTGTCTTTATTCATGGCACTGAATGCAAAAATGACACCACACATACTTAATAAATGCATGACGAATAATAAAGGTGGAATACGTGAATACATAATTATGTAATACACAGAATTAAAGTATAATCTAGTCATTTAAAAATCCGCTTAAAGAAACATTTCATAAGCTAGCTCAATTCATTATATCCATATATCTTCCTTTATTTCTGAGCAAAAATAATGCAAATTTATAAATTCTGAGAAGAGTTTTTGTTTTATAGTAATTTCTCATTTTACAAAAAATTATCTTCAAATTTATCAGAAACAACCACATGAGTGAACTGAAAATACTGACAATATTTTCAAACATCTAGAATATACAAGTAAATTTGAATCATATATTCTAAATATATGCATTGCACTTGAAAATAATAAATTATATACAAATATAATTCAGATTAGCATTCTTCCTAGCTAACTGGAATTAATGAGCTTTTGCTATAATCATATGATTTACAACTAGAAAAATGATATGTTCAAATTATGTAGTCACGATTAAGGAAAAGTAATTTATACTTACGGACAAAGTTCAACTTCTAAATACTGCTCGGTTACATCATTCAGGAAAAATGCTTCCACAACTTTTGAAAACAGAGATATGACATATTGAGAAATGTAACTTTGCTTTCCAACAATTAATGATTTATTTCTTTAGAATATAAAATGAACTATTTTTAATTACAGTACTATCCCTGGTAGGCAAAGGGTAAAGAAAAATGGACTTGACCTGGTGGAAGAAACATACAGGCAATAAACCATTATCAATTTTCTTCCGTATCAGAGTGCCACGAATCAAAAAGATAAATGAAGCCCGGTGCTGGTGAGGTTGTAAAGAAGTCAACATGATCACATAGACTTTGAGCCAGTTATCTTCTAGAAATTTATCCTAAGAAAATAATCCAACGTTTGGGAAAAGAAGTCTCACGTTATACCGAGGCACTGCTTAAAAACTGGAAAGAATCTAAATGATTATCTCCTATTATAGGATTATCTCTTATTCTATAAATAAATCCCCTATTATACAGTGAGCTGTTAACTAAATGATGGAATGCATGCATTATGGAAGACAGCTACTAAAATCAAAGAGACAGTTAAATATTTGTTGACATGGGACGACATCCATGATATCTGACAAGGAGGCTGCAGAAAAGCAACCAAATGTACGTGAGATTAAAGCGTGTGTGTGTGTGCTTGGGCCAAGATTCTGCAAAATGAGTAAAAATACTAAGACTGCTTATCTGTGATTGGTGGAATGCAGGCAGGTAATCTTTCTGTTTTATAACTTCCTGGAACTTTCTAAGCATTGCCATTTTTAAAATGTGCTATTTCAATGATAAAAGCAATACATCTCTCTTTTAAATAATTAAACAGCACAAATATGCATAAAGTAAAAAGTCAAAGTCCATTTCTTCTTTTTGTCTAAAACTTGTCAAACTTTTTCTAAGCTTCTACAAACTTTTTTTTACCTGTTTAGATTTTCCAAAAAATAAATTGGAATCAACTTGTCTCCAACTTGCCTTATTTCACACAAAAACTCTCCTGTATATAAATACCAATTCTTTTTAATGGCTAAATAGTATTCTTTCATAGATTGTTATAACTTATTCACCTAATACTTTATGGGGAGACATTTAGGTTGTTTCCAGTTTTCCACAAGTTATTTTTATAATAAAATAGCTAAGATAGTTCTGTCAACCATTCAGAGAATGGTTGCCCCTTTCTGAATCTTTTACCTAGACTAATTAGCATGCCTATTGTGATGGTTAATTATGTGCATCAACTTGGCTAGGCCATGGTATCCAGATTTTGGTAACACATTATTCTAGTTGTTTCTGTGAAAGAATTTTTAGATGAGATTAACATTTAAATCAGCAGGCTTTTCTTAAAGCAGATTATCCTTCATAATGTGACTGGGCCTCATCAAATCAGTTGAAAACCTTAGTCGAGATAAATAATGACCTCCCCCAAGAGAGGAATTCTGCCATCAGACATGAACTGCAAAATCAACCCTTCCCTGGGTCTCCAGTCTGCTGGACTTGCCAGGCTCATGACTGTGTGTGCCAACTCTTAAGGGTATCTTTCTTCCTATTTATCTCTCTCTTTCCCCCTCCCTCCCCCCATATATATATCTCACTCTGCATGTGGGTATATATATGAGAGGGGACCTAAAAAGATTCTGAATTATTTTGAGGCAGACAGGGCCCTGGTAGTACAGGCTTCACCGCTAGGAAAGTGTTCTAGGAACCCATCGACATCAGCGTGCCGGCTGGCATTGTAGTGAGAGGCTGCATTCGGTTTCAGTGAATTTTTCTGGCCCGTTTGCCCATTTCATGGTGGGGGATTTATGAGCATACCTGCCCACACCGTGCCGAGTGTTCAGTAGTTTTGACCAAAAATGGCATAAGCCCCATACCCCACCCTGCCTATTCACCCAATCTTGCCCTGAATGATTTTTGCTGTTGTTTCCCAGGATGAAAATGTCCTCAAAGGGAAACATTTTTGCCGATGTGGAAGAGTTGAAACAAGAAAAGGTAGAAACACTAAAAGGCATCGAAATCAACAAGTTCAAAAATTGTTTTGAGCAATAGAAAAAGCGTCTTGATAGGTGAATCTCGTCAGAGAGTACTTTGAAGGTGACTGATGTTTAAACATGCAAGAATAAATAAACATGTAAGAATACATAAATTTTAAATAAATTCTGGGGGTTTTTTGGGTCCCCCCTTGTAGAATATACACACACACATATCTTCTGGTTTCTACTTCCCATCATTACCTTACAAGCATTTTTACAGCTTCTCTGTCTTAATGTATCAGATGCCGGGAATACCTTGATTAGCTCACAATATAATCGGGTACTAAAGTGAACCATTTTAATAAAAACTCCAAAATGGAGGGCTGCATGGGCTGCTATAGGTAAAGAGAAAACAGAGAAAGTGGTGTCCATGGGAAGGCTTCCTGGAGCAGGTGCAGTCTGAGCCCTGTCTTGAAAGACGAGCTGGAATTAGGTGAAGGGTGATGGAAACAGCATCCCAGGCTGAGACAGCAATATCGTCGAAGACACAGAACTAGGAAATACCGTGGCTTATTTCTAGGCAACCCTTTCCAAGTGGGAAGAACTGGTGATGTCACAGGGAGAATAAGCGGCCAGGTCACGGACAATCTGACGGAGCGATCCTATTAAGAAGGGTCAAAATTATCTTGAGAGAACTGCAAGCCTGAGAAGGCTTCCATGCAGCTGAAGAATGAGCTTACGTTTTCACTTCAGGTAGATCACGTTGGCATCTAAGTAAAGAATGGGCTTGTGGGCAAAAAGACTATCCAAGGGGCTCTGCCCCAACCCAGGCAGAAGATGAGGAAGGCCTAGCCTTGGGGAAGGATGGTAAGGATGGCAAGGAGGTGCTGAATTAGAGGGACACTTAGGAATTGAACCTGATACGGCTTGGCGAATAAATCCAGTATGGGAAGTAGGAGAGAAGGAAGTCTTGGAAAGAGCGCACAATGTCCAGATCTGGTGATCTGATGTATTGCCACGAACTGAGATCAAGCAATAAGGTAAAGAAATGGTTTGTGAGAGAAGCAGGTGAGTTGAGTGTAGGATTTTTTGAATGTGGTGTGTCTGTACTACCTTTAGTAGATAAGTCACATTGTGTGTATACCATTAGGAAGAGGGTATGTACACGTTCTTTGTCAAAAAGACAACATATGCTTAACATACAACAAATTGACACTGACATACAAATAGCATAGAGAAAGTAGATGTTGACTAAAATATACATCAAAGGTTTCTTTCAAGAAATGGGACACGAATTAGACCTTGACCTCGGCTCATTAGACACAGGAGGAACAGAAGGAAAAGGGGCATGGGTTAAGAGCTTTTGTTGCATGTGGTGGCCCAACTTATATGCACCCCTAAAACCTACAGGAAGGACTTGAGCTTTATCTAGGGATGGTAATGGCCAATGATCTGTGGAATGGCATCGTGAAGAGTATTTCAAAAAGATGAATCCGGTAGCTTAATTAGGATACAGCAGAAGGAGGGGCAAACCTGGCACCGTGTCATCTCATGACATGCCTTCGTGGGATATGTGAGATCACTTGCCAGCGTACATTCCATGTTGAGTTCGATGGTGTTTCTATAAGAAGTTAAACACCCCATAACTTCCATGGAGCAGGTTTATAAAGTTAAAGTGGTAATGTGAAGCTATTTAAAGACAAAACGGGAATGCTGAATTCTTCTTAGTTCAAGTAACAGAAATAAAGGAAGGAAACGTGGCAGCAATATAAAAATCTGGATTTGTAATGGTCATTTTTCACTGTTGTGGTGATGGAGTTGAAGTCACCCAGGTAATGGAGAAAGGTCAGAATGAGAGATCGGTGGGAAATGCCAGACACTGCACATGTCAACCGCTCAAAGGCACTCACTCCGTAACAGCAAGATACAATAATCGTTCTGTGAGAGGTTATCATAAAAAGACTTATGCTTGCAATACGACATGCACTTCCACTCACCTTCGTAATCCCACAGCTCATTGAAAGGCTGTCCTGGTTCTCCAGGTGGGGCAGGAGGATCATTGAAAAATGGAGCGCTAACGCACATCATCACGCCCTCGTCACCTGGATGCAGCCTGACCCGCACTGGCTCGTGCTGCACCGGAAAGCCATCCCAAGTGTGTCCAATTTTAAAATCCATCTGAAACCTCTAAAGGAAAACACATGAAGACAAGCACTTTAACAATATACAAATATTTTTGTGAGTTAGAAACAGAATGGACATTTCAATGCCAAAGAGCAGACAGGAAGGCAGTAGAGTGACAAGAACACGGTCCTGGAAGACAGAAGGCCATCTGCGTTGTGGCAAATCCAGACTCTGAGTCCTGTCCTAAAACAGGCACCAGTCCTAAACGCTTTAAGATTTTAAGTCTAGATTCAGCTCTAGCACGCTCATGAAGAGCACACCAAAATCACTGTTAGAAATAGCAATCAAGTCCACTGTAGAAGTTGTTAATAGACTTAATGACAACTATAAGCACTGAGTTTTTACGTCATTCTTTGTCTTTTATTTACTATAAAGTGTGCAGGTGTCTAAGTTACTAGATCCTCTGGGAAGCAAGATTTTTATAATAAAATTCAACTTAGTAAAAAAAACCAAAAACAACTCCATAAGTCAGCAGAAGCAGTGCTGTTAACACCTGTTCTTTTCGCTATAAACCTTTTCTTGAGGGTGGAGAGATTTCAACTATGTGACAGTTGGGAGAATTGAACTTTGCCTTCCTTAGTCCCGGTGCATACACTTTCAATTTCTGATATTTCAGCTGTGAAATGACTGTGGCTTGGTTAATCACTTCCTTTCATTGAAAAATGGGAGCCGGGCTCGGTGGCTCAGCCTGTAATCCCGTGCCTTTGGGAGGCTGAGGTCAGTGGATTGCCTGAGCCCGCGGGTTCGAGACCC